ACTGCCTTGTTTGGATACCCACCTTTTTCCTAAGATCCCACCCCTTTCTGCACTTTGCCAGGTCGGCAACCTTCTGAAAGCTGCGAAGCTGGAGATCTCCGAATCGACTGCATCTATGATCCCAGATGAAGGCCTGGAGTTCCAGGACACGGAGACTGTCTCCTCAGATTCAGGACTGGAAGATGTCATGCGAGAGATTTCTGCTGGTGATGCATCATAGGATACGCTTTCGTGCGACTTTCTAGTATGTTGAACTCAGATTGCAGGTAGGACAACTAGTTGGAAGCAGGAGTCAATCGCGACGAAAAAAATGAAAACAAACCATGATCCCAGAAAACGTGTCGGTGCGTGTCATGCGCCCGTGTGTCCTCTAGGCCAACGTGCCGTGCCGTGCTGTGCCGTGTCGTGCCACCACCCAACTGAACCGGAAATTTTGCTGCCGGGGCTCAAAGTTTGGCCCGTGCCGTGCCGTGTCGCCGGCTGCCTGGAAGGCGAGCTTGGGCTTGTTCACATCAGATGAACTGCTTGCCTTTGAACATGATCAGATGGCGGGAGCCGCGGCCTGGCGAGGCTGGCAACATTTCTTTCGCTTTCTCAATGTTTGGAAATCATTGATCTGTCAGATGATGATGAAGATTAAACTTGGGGCGACTGGGGCCGCACAGGCCTTCGTATTACGTGAGTGTCTTTCTCACACATAGCACTCTTTCTCTCTCCATCTCTGTTGTTGCATGGGGCAGGTTTTGATGACTGGTCCAGGGCGTGGCGAAAATACGGCGGCTGGAGTGAGCACTGTGACGAGGAATACAACTGGGACTGGACCCAGAAGACAGGCCTTCGGTACTACCCTCTCTCTCTCTCTGTGGTTGCACGGGGTCGTGGCAGGTTGGTCTTGGACTCCGGACGAGAAGACCACTGACTGGGGCGGCTCAGGCCTTGCGGTTGTTGTGGCACATGTACACAACGCAAAGGGAGTGCTGCAGGTGGCGATAGTGTGGTCGAAAAGAAACCGGCGCCGAAAAAAATGCCGAAGATCAGCCCAGGAGGTTAGGATTCCTTTTGTGCTACAAAACTGTCTGGGTGGCAGCACTTATATTAAGACGTGCAGGACCAGTTGACCTCACTGGCCAGAAGAGCTACGAGGAAGGAGAAGGCTGGGACTTATTTGGGTTTTGCTTGCTGCACCTGGTAGCCATCGCTTCTCGTGCGCACTCAAAGACAGGATACGACAAAGGCTCCACGAAGGGCGATGCAAAAGGCTGGGGCTTAGGTTTGCATGTGTGCTGAGTCTGAAAAGCACACTTCTGAAGGAAAGCAAGCAAAAGCTGCCGTGGACAAGGGATCCGCAAAGGGTGCCGACACAGGCTGGGTTTTTGTTTTCGTGTTCGATTGTGGTGCAGTCATTCAGGAAAAGATGGCAAGGGATTGACCACCGAAAAGGGAGGCGCACGCACACACACACACACACGGCAAGTTCGCAGCCAGTGAAGCAAAAACTCCAGCAGCAAACATCCTGCAGGAAAGCAAGCGAAACCTGCCGTTGACAAGGGATCCGCAAAGGGAGCTGACGCAGGCTGGGACTTGCTTTTGTGTTTGTCTGTCTTCGCTGTGGTGCAGTCATTCAGTGATTCAGGAAACGAGGGCAAGGGCAAGGGAGGGGGCTCCTCAAGTGATGGAGGCTGGCAGGTCGCCAATATTTAGTTTGTGTCGTGCTCTGCTACCGAAACACGTGCAGGGCAAGATGGCAAGCAAGGGCAGAAGGGCATCAAAGGAGTCTGGGGTTTGTTCTTATTCTTGTCGTGTTGTTAGTTCAAAGACAGACATGATGCAGGCAAGGACAGCTGGAAAGGACAGAAGGGTGACTTTTCCGAGAAAGGAGGCTGGGACTTTTTTGGTGTCGTGCTAGTTTGCTAGTGGCACTGAAAGACAGGATACGACAAGGGCTCCGCGAAGGGTGTTGCAAAAGGCCGTTGTTTGCACGTGTCGTGTGCTGAGTCTTGCTGTGCATGGGCAGCACACATCCTGAAGGAAAGCACGCAAAAGCTGCCGTTGACAAGGGATATGCAAAGGGTGCTGGTACAGGCTGGGATTTACTTTGTTTGCTTTCGCATGTGGTGCAAACACGTGCAGTAGCTTTTTCAGTGTTTTGCTGCCGGTAGCTATAGCGTGGTCGAAGGGAAGCCGATGCTGCAGCCGACGCCGAAACGCAAGCCAGACAGCGAAGGATGGTTCGGATTCTCTCCGTGTGATCGTGCTCTGGGTGGCAGTACTTATTAAGATGTGCAGGACCAATTGACCTCGAGATCACTGATGAGGAAGGAGAAGGCTGGGACTTATTTGGGTTTTGCTTGCTGCACCTGGTAGCCACGCGCACTCAAACACAGGATACGACGAGGGCTCCACGAAGGGCGATGCAAAAGGCCGGGGCTTAGGTTTGCATGTGTGCTGAGTCTTGTTATACCTGAAAAACACACTTCTGAAGGAAAGCAAGCGAAAGCTGCCGTTGACAAGGGATCCGCAAAGGGTGCTCACGCAGGCTGGGATTTACTGTTGTTCGGTTTCGCTTGTGGTGCAGTCATGCAGGAAAAGATGGCAAGGGAGTGAACACCGAAAAGGGAGGCACACACACACACAAGGGTAAGTACGCAGCCAGTGAAGCAAAAACTCCAGCAGCAAACGTCCTGCAGGAAAGCACGGGAAACCTGCCGTTGACAAGGGATCCGCAAAGGGTGCTGCAACAGGCTGGGATTTACTTTTTTGTTTGTCTTCGCTTGTGCAGTCATTCAGGAAACGATGGCTCAAGTGATGGAGGCTGGAACATTGGGAGTTGTGTCGTGTGCTCTTACAGAAACACGTGCAGGTCAAGATGGCGAGAAAGGGCAGAAGGGCATCAAAGGAGTCTGGGGTTTGTTCTTATTCTTGTTGTGTTGTTAGTTCAAAGACAGACATGATGCAGGCAAGGACAGCTGGAAAGCACAGAAGGGTGACTTTTCCGAGAAAGGAGGCTGGGACTTTTTTGAGTCTGGGGTTTGTTCTTATTCTTGTCGTGTTGTTAGTTCAAAGACAGACATGATACAGGCAAGGACAACTGGAAAGGAAAGAAGGGTGACTTTTCCGAGAAAGGAGGCTGGGACTGTTTTGAGTCTGGGGTTTGTTCTTATTCTTGTCGTGTTGTTAGTTCAAACACAGACATGATGCAGGCAAGGACAACTGGAAAGGACAGAAGGGTGGCTTTTCCGAGAAAGGAGGCTAGGATTTTTTTGGTGTCGTGCTAGTTTGCTAGTGACGCTGAACGAAAGGATACGAGAAGGGCTCGGGTGATGCAAAAGGCCGGGTTTTGCATGTGTCGTGTGCTGAGTCTTTGCTGTGCATGGGAAGCATGCATCCTGAAGGAAAGCACGCAAAAGCTGCCGTTGAGAAAGGATCCGCAAAGGGTGCTGAAACAGGCTGGGATTTACTGAAAAGAGGGCAAGGGAGTTAATCTTTGTGTTGTTCTGTGGCAGGTCGCCGTGCCTATATAGTTTATGTCGTGCTCTGCTACCAAAACACTTGCAGGGCAAGATGGCAAGAAAGGGCAGAAGGGCGTTGAAGGAGTCTGGTATGTGTTCTTTTTCCTGTCGTGTTGCTGCTACAACGACATCATGCAGGCAAAGACAACTGGAAGGGACAGAAGGGTCACTTTTCTGAGAAGGGAGGCTGGGACTTTTTTTGTGTCGTGCTCGTTTGCTTATGGCACTCAAAGAAAGGACACGACAAGGGCTGGGCGAAAAGTGATGCAAAAGGCTGGGGCTTATAGGTTTGCATATGTCATGTGCTGAGTCTTGCTCATCCTGCAGGGAAGCAAGCAAAAGCTGCCGATGACGCGGGATCCGCAAAGGGTGCTCATGACGCAGGCCTGGATTTACTCTTGTTTGTCTTCGCTTGCACAGCAGTCACTCAGGAAAGATGGCTGGGGTCAGTTGTTTCTTTGCTGACTCTCGGGGCACGTCGGGAAACTACGCCACGTAGCTTGATTGCAACGACAGGAAAAGATGCACCTGAAGATGGGGAAGGACAGGTCTCCCCACACAAGGAAGGCGGCAATTGGGACCTAGTTTTGCAACTGCTTGCTGTGCTGTATACTGCTGTGCTGTGGCTGCAGGCAAAGCTGGCAAGAAAGGTGGCAAGGGCAAAGGAGCTCGGGATCGTTTCGTGTTGCTGCTGGTAGCTAGTACTGTCAATTTCTGGCTTTAAAGCTAGATCGATATGCAGGCGACGATCGCATGACGTTCGTGACGCAAGAGGGAGTGGATAAGATGTTCGGCAAGAGATACGAATCTTGCCTCGGCGATATCAACACAAAGACGAAGATCCCCCGTGTCGCATCATCAGGCCACTCCCTCTCCCGTTCAGTCTCTTCTTTCTTGTATCCCCTCCCCTGATCAGGGGCTCTGGAAGCAGACGGAGAGTCTGAGAAGGAGAAAACAAGCCCCACCGAGACCGTGCAGAGCGAAAGGCTTGGGCTTTGAAAGTACGTGATGCAATCCGAACATGCCAAGAATCCGAAAAGCCGCCGCGCAAGGCCAGCCCTGCAGTCGCCGGCTTCCTCGGCGTCGTTGGGTTCTGGTTCGGTGGCTTCGGTGTACTCAGGCTCAATTTCAGTCAAACCGTGAATGTATCCGGTTAAGATCTGAGACGACAAACCCTCCTTGAAATCCCGATGTTTGTGCATGCGTACACATACGTACACATACACATGCACATGTACATATACATACATTTACATAAACATACATAAACATACATATACATACATATACATACATATACATACATATACATACATATACATACATATGCATACATATACATACATACCGACATGCCCACGTGGACGTGGATCCGATGCTGGACCGATGAGGTCGGACGGGGGCGGCTCGAACGGGAGGCGAACACTCCGCGTTAAGAGCTTGACGGAGGACCAACGTGAGGAGATCGCGAAGATGAGCCAGCCAACTGACATGTCAGCCGGCGAGCGGAAGCGACAGTTCGCGGCGTTAGACCGCTTTATCAATGCGAACTCAGAAACATTGCCCCCGGGTCTTGTCGAAAAGTACAAGGACTCCTTTGGGAATGGCACCAAGAAGTTCGAGCTCCTGACGCTGGGCAACAGATAGCATCTGCTTTGGCAACCGTGGTATGTGTTTTGTGTCTATAGCGAAGGTAGAGTACGATCTCTTTTGCATGTCCATGAATGCATAAATATGTGTATATATATATACACACCCACCCACCCACCCACCCACCCACCCACCCACCCACCCACCCACCCACCCACCCACACATACGCACACACACACACACACCCACCCACACACTCACACAACCACACACCCACACATACCACACCCACACCCACACCCACACACTGCCATCCAGGAAGTCGTGGATGCTCGACCCGACGATGAAAAACGTCGAGATCGAAGCCTACTATGTCCAGAAGCACGAGAAGTCGAGCGCCGGCGAGTACGAGGAAAAAAGCCTGATGGACTGGGAGGATATCTACAAGACGCCGGAGCAGCGAGCTTGGCTTGCCAAGATCGTCGCTTGTGCCTTTGTGAGCTCAATTCAGTATTTCGGGAGTGGTCATTGTGATTTGTTTTCGTGTCGAATCAGCATGCCGTAAATTGGCACACTCACATATACAGACGAGGCCAAGAGGGCAAGCCCCACCCACAGGACAAGGGCAACCCACGGGCCCGCTTGTACAAGATCTTCCGGAGGAACAAGGACGTGGACAAGATCCAGAACGAAGTGGGCACGAAGACAGGGGCAAAAGGATCGGTGAGTGAAGCGGCGGCTCCGCTGGTGAAGGAGATCATGGAGGGTGCACAGGCGGACTTCGCAGGTGCCCAGGAGCAGCCCAGGGACACAAAGGAAAAAAAGGAGAAAGAAGAGAAGAAGGCTCATGCATTATACTAAATGATTTCCTGCCATCGAAAATCGTGTATGCAGACGGTTGTGTTGTGCATGTGTAAATCAAGGAGTCCTTACTGCAGGTCGATCCGGAGGTGCAGGCGAGAAAGGAAATGGAGAAGGATATCGCCGCCATCAACAAGCTGGCATCCGATGCCAGGTTGATGGGAATGGCCCTGACAGAGTGGGATGTGCCACACGTGGAGGCTCTGCAAGGAAACTTGCAGAAGCACGTTCAAGTCTTGAAGACGATCCGCGAAGGGATTGATGATAAAGTTTTTCACGGATCGCTGGGTTCTTATATCTGTGGCTTTTCCAATGTGTGTGCACATGTATGTGTGAATGTGACCTGCATGTGCAGACATTGATTGTGTGTGCGGACAAACCATATTGCATATGCTATGCAAAATAGAAGGCGCCCCCACCCTGTAATAGTGGTATTATAATAGGAATTAATATTGAATAGGACCCATTATAATATAGTCCTATATAGTCACTATTACAGGGTGGGGGGGCCTTCTAATACGCAAACCCCTTCTCTCAATCTGTACAACCTCATAAGCCCTGAGCCTGAAGCTGCAACCCCGACGTTTGCGAGCTAAGGCCGATCAGTGAAATTGCGGGCTTCATTCGGGAGAACGCTGATGCGTGCAAGGCCTGCAAACGTCAGTCTCAAAGGACAGACCCTGATGCATCTTATTCGTCAGGCGGCGCACCGGGACATTCTTCATGGGCAAGGGCAGATCGATGCAGAGAAGAAGCGCCGCAGCCTGAGTGTACAAATGATGTCGTCACGTATTTATCAATCTATCTCGTTTGCACCAAAGCTTCGATCCTGACCAGGCCACAATCAACAACAGAAGGAGGAGGAAAAGAAAAAGAAGAAGGCTGATGCTGAGGCCTTGGAGCAGGAGATGAATGAGAGGCCGATATGCATTGCTTGGAGGGCCGAGTTGCTTATATAGCAAGGTATTCAAACCATATCTAGGTTTATAGATCAACACTTATTAATATAGGGTCTTATCTTCAAAGTTTAGATGACTTACGTAAACCTTGGAGTTATTTAGTTCAAAGTAGCTGTGGCCTCCTGACAACCCCTCCTGAAGCCTGAAACCTTTGAAAGTATGCCTGCATCACCAATCATCCAGCTCGCCGATACAACCACCATCTTACCTGTGACATTCCCATTCTTCACGAACACAATCCGAAGATACAACCCCAGTACTCAATCCTCCACTGTATGGAAGCACACTAGCTTTCCCATAATCCCATGTATAAACCCTACAAAACTTACCCCAGTACTCAATCGTCCAATGTATGGAAGCACACTAGCTTTCCCATTGTTCCGTGTATAAACCCTACAAAACTTTGATGGAACCGTGGCACCGTGGCACACTCGAAGCATTATTCCGAGCCCTTAGTAGGTTCCTGCTCATGCCGATCAGGTGGGAAACGATGACCGACGAAGAAAAGTTCGCCTACATGCTTAAGGGCCAGGGCAAAGGTAAAGGAAGCAGCAAGAGCAAGCGGCAGAAAAGGTCGTGAGCTGCCACATTTAATTTTGAGTTTCGTACCGAGGGCGGCTACGAGTGCACTCCACAATGCTTGTAAGCTACCTACTTAAGCTCTTGCATGTGCACTCCAAATGATGCTGAAGTGGCCGCCCTAGGAGCCTGCAGCAAGCAGTTTAATCTGTAGGGCCAGCGGCGATAGGGATTCAGCGCGAATCCGCCGTTGAAAAAACCTCACAGTCGATGCTCGCATGCTCAAGTTCACATGCTTGGCAAAAAACATGTTGCAGTATCATCATATGCCAGGATCCTACAGAAGTGGTGCAGGGCATCATGTCCGAGATTTGGTCGATGCTCGGGAGTGGCAAGGCCAGAACGGGACCATGCAAATCATGTGGCTCTGATGCATTCAATCAGGTGGAGATCAAACGACTGCGAAATCTCGTCTGTTCGAACCCCAGCCGAACGATCCTTCGAATCATGATTGAGACAAGATACATCCAAATCCAAGGTCGCTTGAGGCATCTACCTGCACAGCTGGTGCCGTCACTGCCCTATATTCCTTGAGCAACCTGTTCTGATGTGAGATCTGTGCTAAAGAACTGAACCAGGAACGAGATCCTGGATTTGGCGGTTAGCTTCGATGGCTCTTCGAAATCGTGGGGCTGCGACAGAGTGCTCAATCGATGGACAATGAAGCAACCCTGGAGACAACTGTTGCCTCGACCATATGTGATTTCGTTGCCTTGTGTCAGGTACCAAGTTGTTGGGGCTTCGGTACGTTTCTGCTGCAAATAAGTGTTCTAAACCCCAGGAATAAGTGTTCTAAACCCCAGGAATAAGTGTTCTAAACCCCAGAAATAAGTGTTCTAAACCCCAGAAATAAGTGTTCAACACCATACCCAATCATAGCCGAAATGAGCCAGCACAACCCTTCTAAAGAGAGGGGTCGAATTACTGTTACAGGCAGGGTCTAATTTCTGCAGTATCACCTACAAAAGTCGAAGCCCTGTATGCACAGCTCTGATTGGTTTATCAGGTGCATACGGATCGAACGGGGAAGCCGCTAACACGCATCAATCATTCGCTCTTCCTCCCGCATGAGATACTGGCCTCATTGCACAGCAGCGGCAACTTGCACCGGCTGGCTCCAGAAGGTGTTGCCTGGATTCACCATGCAGGGGCTTGCCCATTGAAAGTCTTTGGCATCGAGGTTTAGGGTCGGGTGTTTTGGGCTGGTAGGTCCAGGACCTTAGGGTTTCCAGTATTGGGGTTTTCGGGCCGGGGAGATGATATCGACACTATTGAGCTGTACAATACATATCCTCAAAAAGGTACAAGGTCTGAACAGTCTGAACCCACCTATAGGAGACTGATAAGCTGGAAAGCCACAAGACTCCAAGGTATTGTTGTATGGGTCCGGCTACAGGAATATTTCTAAGTATCAAAGACTGAATAGGATTGATCCCTGAACCAAAGCTATTCCTGATCAACGTGGGGGATTTGACGAGGAATGATCGACTTGCTTGGCCTGCTGTGGCACCAACCGGCAGCGTTAAGCAACAACGCGAGGAAATCCAGGGCGTGCACTAGTCACGTGCGTCGAAATCTGAAATTAAATGAAGGCCGTTGCCGACGGAATCCCAGCGGTTGCAGTATCATGCTTGCGACATGTTGAAGCTGCCGTTATAAATGCACTTGAAGCATATAGATACTAAGTAGCTGATGATTCAACATCCATCCGACCACACCCATCTTGATTCTCGAATGCTAGGTGGTATGATCCGCTGATGCGCATGTCGCCATGCTGAGCACGCCGTACGAATAATGAAGCCACTGCACTTCTAAGTAAGGCGACAATCCCGTTGGAGTTTATGTTGGGCATGATCGAATCAATTGCTGGGCTCGTTTATCCTAGAGGTTTAATTATATCGTCCTTTGTTGATCGAGGGGCCGGGTCTCACACTGTTTGGCTCCGTCATAAGTCGTGGGAATGCAATCCGAATCGTTGATATCATCTTGCCAAACCAAGGCTCTCCAAGACCACTGGGAAAATGAGAGGCAGATCGATCCAGACTTCGTGGCCTGGGTGGAGTCTGAGGGCATCGATCTGCAGCAAGCGATTCCCTTCAGGATTTACGGGGACGGTGCGACTTCACTTAGATCTTGGCTTTGAAACAAACTTTACTACTTTGTTTTGTCCATATAAGGAAGTTGGTGCGAAGGCGTTAAATCTGGGAGTATGTGCTCAACCTAGGACACCAAAACTTCGAAATCATTGCACTGGAGCCTGTGCTTGCTGAAACGTCGACCCTCAGCAGCCGTCTTCTGATGTCTTGCATGAGCTCTACCTACTGCTCTGACGATGCAAGAACTGAGATCCTGAAAGTCTTGAGTTGGTCTTTTCACTGCTTGTGTGCTTTGCCATGCATCTCAGATCAGGGCTTCTCCGAAACCTGAAGAATGATTACTGTAAGTACTGGAAGTACCGGGGTGCGGGTACACATCCAGAGAAAGAAGGCGACCAAGACTGGATGCGACTATGCTTCTCTCTGAAGAGAACTGCAAGCTGCCAGCAGGTTTGCTACTACTGTTGGGTCTTTTGACAGCAAATATGAATCTTTCCTATTGCTTTTAATTGTATACTGCAACCGACTTTGGCCATCCTGATCTATAGATGATGCCGCCTGGGAGGCCTTAATGTTTCTGTCTCCTGGAGCAGCAGCTGGCAGTGAAGATGCGGATGAAGATATGCTGTTCACATCCTTTGGCCCGAATGCCAGGCACAGAAGAACGAGCCTTGGCGAGACCTGTGGATGTTTCTAAAACACCCAATTGTGTAAATAATACTATAGTTGGAAGCCCCATTTTTGAAACACAATCTCAGTTCTGAAAACCGCCAGCGGTTGCAAGACATCGTGATCTTGTTTCCGACATAATGTACTTTATGGGCCCTAAACCCTGAACTCTACGAAATATAAAGTTTCACGTGAGGTTGACTCATGCTGGCGAGTTTATCCAAGTGCATGGGCGCACGGCGTTGACCACCATCCCTTTCTTCATGCCTGAAAGATGCATGGCTGTGACTATATGGTTTTGATAATATCAGGGACATGTTTCGTACGCCTAGAACACACAGACACACACACACACCTCGTGAGTTCATGTGATTTCTCCATGCTGGGTCGACAGGAATATTTCCAGACCCCATGCACAACATCGACCTCGCCGTGATCCCAGACTTGGCGATTTCACTGCTGCTGGATTGGACTGACAACCAGGATTATGTAGCAGGTCCCCACAGGCCTACTCGGCTGCGTGCTTTGTATGAGAGCTACAACAATTTTATTGGACGTGACATCGATCGAGCAGATGCCAAGCTCTTCAATGCAGAGGTCTTGAAACCCAACTCCAATACTTTTGTGAGTGTTTCCCAGCACTACCTTTCAGCGGCCGCTGCTCGCGGGCTTTTGGTATGGATGGCAAAAGTGGCTGAGGACTTCGCTGCCGCAGCTCCGACGAGGGAGAATCACTGGCGAGCTGGTGCGTGCTTGGGACTGCTGAAACTTCAGCAGATAGCTATGGACAATGGGTGCCTTTTCTGCATCTATTAATAAGGCTCCCAGGTAATTTGATAGTTTTGTTTGCTGCTTTGGTCCACCATCGGACGTATATCTAAAGAACAGGCGTGTTCTGCCTGAAGATCAGCGTGAGCTGTCCGTGGAGTATTATCTGCTCTTCAGAACTTGCTGGAATGAACTGGCCCTCCGAGCGCTGCAGCTTCACCAATTGAGGTGGCACCTACGTCCGAAAATGCATCACGTAGAGCACATGGTCATGGACCATGTTGCTTTTGGCAGGAATATGCGATATTTCTCTTGCTTTTTAGGCGAGGATATGGTTAGAAGAACCAAACGCCTCGCAGTTGCTGTGCACCCAGGAACTGTAGGGATGCGAGTGCTGGAGCATTACTCCCTCCACGTGTGCTTGCTCTGGGCAGGCTTGCTCGAAGATTCCAAGTCCGGGTGAAAATCGATTGACTGAAGTGATCTGCATTGCAAGTATTCCTCATCCATTCCGGAACCAATTGTGCTAAACCCTGAAACCCCAAACAAGCCTTTAAGTTTCTGATCCTCAATTTCAGCTTCAAGGTGTAGACCGGGCGGCCTTCCGCCGCACCGCGGTCCTTCCCTATGAGGAAGGCGGCCACAATATCCAGAGACCTTGTGACCCACCCTTCGTTGTGTAGCGCTGCTACCTCCAACAGGGAATGACTCTCGGGCGTTGGCGTTGGGACGAAAACGTCCAAGCCAGCTTCCTGTTCTGGGCTGTAGCGGGCTTTAACGTCGGCACAGGTACACCTTGACTTGTACCTTCCTTTGTCGCACTTGTCTGCCCACTTTGCCCTGAACAGCTGCGCCCCGCGCGGTACTTCAGACCGCAGCACAGGCGTGAAAGCGCCTCGGTCCCACAGCTTTCTCAGCTGCTCCTTGCATGCTTGCTCGACCTCCTTGGGGTCGAGCATCCGGTCTAGCAGGTCTGTCACCTGCCCAACCCACGCGTCCCGCTCGCCCTTGTGGTTGGTGAGCGGCGGGTCGGCTAAGGCAGCGATGTGCTGCCACACCTCGCGCTCCGTGAGCGATCCTAGCCGCGGTGCCTTCTTAGGCTCCACACGACTCTTTGCTCCAGGCGGCTGCTGTGCTGCCGCTGCGCTCGCGGAGGAACCCGCAGTTCTGCCCCCCTTCGCCTGAGCCGTCGTTGGCGGCCCGGGCGGGGCTTGCCGCTGGTTGCGGTAGCACGCTTGCTGCGGCAACTGCTGCCTCCACGTCGGACGGCTCACAGTTCGGTATGTCTGCATTGGCTGGCGTCCGGGAGCCTGCTGGCCTGTTCGGCCCCTTCAACCAGGAGGGCCTCGTCGTCGGGCCGTGGCCCGTCACTGAAGAGCCAGGGCTCACCGGGCGGTTCTAGCCGCTCCACTTCCTCTGCCGGCGTGGCCAGAGGGATTGGCACCATCATCGGCTCGCTGCACTCTGCTGGCGCTGCGCGGCCAAATCTCGGGTTCCAAGGCAGGCCGCACGCTTTGAGGACGGCTGCCGTCTGGTGCCGGGTCTCAGGCGGGAGTCGCCTGACGCTTCTCACGTTGAGTGCGCCTGCTTCCGTCAGCACCACGTGGGTGTCGTCACGCTCCAGCTTTCCGGCCCAGACCCCTTTGACCCAGCGCACTTGCGCTTTGTTCCCGGGCCTTGGGAGCTTCGCCAGAACGGTTTCTCCAAAGGAGCAAAGTGCTCCACCATAGTCGGTGCCTGTGGCTGCCCGATATGGCGTCACCCCATCCGTTGACTTTGTCCCGAAACGGGCCTGCAGCCAGGCCACGTGCCTGACAAGCCACGGGAACAAGTTGGACGAAGTGTCCCACTCTAAGGCGGGGTAGTCCGCTCTTGGCTGCGAGAGCCAAGTGCGAACCTCGCCTGCTAGGTGTGCGTTTCTCGGATCCTTGGCTTTGGTGTGACCCGCGAGGGGCGTCCCGAAGACGCACCCTAGCAGCTCCAAGCCGGCGGTGGACCGCGCGGGCCACAGAGGCTATGGCATTCTCTTGGTCAGCCTGTAGGGTAAACTTGTCGTACCCCAGGCGGTCCACGAACTGCTCCACGAGCCCCGCGGCGTAGGCCGCGTGTCTGTGCCCTTTGTGCGCCACGGGAATTGACAGAGTCCAGCCAGTGGCCCTGTCTGTGAGGTTCAGCACCGTGGCAAGCGACGCTTCTTCTTCAACCTCTTTCCCGTCCCGGCTGTAGAACTGATAATCCATGGTGACAAGCGGCGTCACCGGATCATCGGAGGGCTCACGGCGGCGGTGTGGGTCCTCGCGCGCCTTTCCCTCCACGCACTTCTCGCACCACGCCTGGTAGGGCGTGTGAGTGAGCTCGTGCTCGGCGCGTTCCTGCGCCGTGGGGTTGCGCGGTGCCCTCAGGCCGCGTGGCCTTGAGTCAGGCTGCTCGGCCTGCTCCTCGAGAGGGGCGGGGTTACCCGCAGCCTCCTCCTCTTTAGCAGCTTCGGCCTCTTCGTCGGCTGCTGCTTCCATCGCCACGTCCTCCACCTCTCGAGCTTCGAGATCGTGCTCCGGGATGTAGTCGCTCTGCCGCCACCGGTGCCACCCGGTTTGTTGATCCCGGCGGGAGCTCCCGCTCGTAGGGTAGGAGGAACTGTGACCCTTTCTTGAGGATCGAGGCTCGGACGCCGTCGGGCCACAAAATGTGGCTGTCCTCTCGGTGGAGCCAAATGCCCGCACCGGCCTCCACAGCACGGCTGATGCTGAGGATTTCGTCCTCTATGTCCTCGGTCACTTCAAAGTTGACCTTGCAGGACTGACGCTCCTCCCCTAAGAGGAGGCTTGGCTGGACACGGCCCTTTGTTTTCAGGAGGCTGCTGTCCACCGAGTAAAGGCTTTTTGGTGGGCCCGCGGGCTGCAGGTCGGGAAACGCCTCGGGCCTGCACACGGACACACACGCCCCGGAGTCCACAAGGAGACTCCCCGACACCTTGAGGATCTTGTCTTCTTCTGGCTCGGTGTCGTGAGGCGGGGCAAACCGCACACCTAAGATGCGGTCGTCGCGCACCTGGCCTTTGCCGCCAGAGCCGCCAGTGCTTCCTCCAGCTTGGGACGCGGAGGGGCCCGCAGTCGCCAAGGAGGCTGTTGACAACGTTGTGGCCGCGTCGTCGGCCACCTGGGCCACCTGGCCCTTGTTGCCTTTGCCTTTTCCCTTGGCGTTAAACCAGCACTCCTTTACGGTGTGTCCCGTTTTCCAGCAGATGGGGCATCTCTCTTTGCCGTCTCTGCCTCCTTGCTGGTTCCCCTTTTTGTCCCCTTTTCCTTTGCCTTTGTTGTTGTGGTCGCCCTTGCCCTTTTTGTGGTCCTGGTCCCCCTTTCCTTTGCCTTTGTCTTTGCCTTTTCCTTCCTTCCCGTTTCGGTTCCCTATTCTGCCAATGTCCATGGCGTTAGGGTCCCTTCGGGAGGAGGCGGCGTAGCCCGCGCTCGGGGTCCAGACCCTTTTGGCTTGCAAGTAGCTCACTCGCCGCGTGCATGGCGAGGTGCTGCCGAAGAGCATTGGGGCTCTCGGTCACCAGCACTGCCCGCAGATCTTCGTCTGCTAGGGCGCGTCCTGCGCCATACTCGGAGGCGTAGCGGTCCACATCTGCTTTCCATTCCTGCAGAGCCAAGGAGAAGTCGCTCTCCTTTGGCGGGAATTTCGGCATCAGCAGGGTCCGCCTCCAGGTGAGGTTCTTGGACTCGTTCTCTGGGTTGTGCTCCTGCCACAGGAGACGCCAGAGCTCGAACCCATTCTGGCTCTTCACTCCGCGCGCCAGCTTCACAGCTGTGGCGGAGTCCTGGGTCCAGCTGCCCAGCATGCCGAAGGGCGGAGGCTAAGGGTCCGCACTTCCTCGGTCATGGCTGCCATTTGGAGCGGCCCCTTGCACTTTCGAGCCACCTCCAGCTCAGCTGGATACCTGGTGTCTACGACCGCCAGGTAAGTCTCCGCTTGAAAGGCAAAGCGCTCCCAGTCGTCTCGCCCCTTAAGGGAGGTAGGGAGACGCATGCTCTTGAGCAAGTGCCCACTGCGCGGGCGCAGGGGCGGGTGCCGCCGTGGCGGCTGCCGCCGTAGCGGCTGCTGCAGCTAGGCCCTGTTGCCTTTGGGCCGCAAGCTCGCCAATCGCAGCCTGCAGCTGCTACGCTTGGCTCTCCAGCAAACCCCTAAGGTTTGCCACCTCCCCGCGTTGCGCAGGGCCTCGACCACGGATTCGCCCTGCGGGGGCGGATGAGCCGGTTGCTGGCTCATCTCTTGAACTGTCGAAGATCTCGTCCAACAGCGCTAGGGCCTCCCGTACTGGTCCGCCAGCTCTGGGTTGCCTTCCCAAGGGGCCGGTCTGTTCCGGGCCGCGTGCCTGAGTCCGTTGAGGAAGGACTCCTCTTCCTCACCAGCGTCGGCCGGTGAGGTGGCCTCCAGCTCCTGCTCAGGGGCTTCCTCCCGAGGCGCGGGAGGTACCGCAGCCTCGGGCTCTGCTGGCCCCGGCTGTGGCCTTTGGTTCCGTCGGAGCCTTGGCTGCTGGAGCGCCTCTTGGCTTGGCCTCCGGCTCTGCCTCCGGGGTGGCCTCAGTGGTTCCACTCGCCGGCCCAGCCTCGGAGCTGGGGCTTCCAGAGCTTTCTTCTTTTGCCTCGACCGCCTTGGGCGCGGCCTTCGGTGAGGCTTCATCGGCTGGCTCTGCGGCCGCCTCTGCGGAGGCAGGCGGGGCAACCCGCTCTGCCGGCTCCTCCTTCTTGGCAGGGACGGCCTCGCTAGAAGAGGAAGCTGCAGCAGCAAGGGCAAGGCAGCCCAATAAGGGAGCAGAGCAGCCCGCAAAGGGCAAGCCAGCCCCAGCAGGCAAGTCCGGAAAAGGAAAGCCTGCGACCCAGGAGCCTGCGCAAGGTTCTGGGAAGAAGAAGAACCACCGAGGTGGTCGTTCGCGAGCGGCCCGCGCGAACCGCGAGGCTTGAGGCCCGAAAGGCGCGAAAGAGAGGGTACGGACCCGGTCGTCCTCGTAGAGGGCCCGGGGACCGATATCCCAGAGCCGCGCACCCCGGAGCAAAACCCCGCAGGCGCCGGCCAGGAGGTGCAGAACCCAAGCAGCTCAGAATCCTCCTTGGACACCGCACCGCCTAAGGTGCCAGTTTTCACAGGCCCTGTGCCTGGAGAAGACACACCAGACTTCGGAGGAAGCGACTCCGAAGGAGAGCGGGAAACCCCGCCCGCTGGCGGGCTGCGCAGCTCCTTTGGCAGGCTTGCCCTTGGTGGGCTTCCCTGCTCCCTTTTCCCGGGGGTTCTGCTCCCCGACTCCGAGGCGGGGCGGCCCGCACTCGAGCCGCTTTTGCCTTTGCCCTTTTCGGGCTCGGCCTTTGGGTTGGTCTGCCCCGGTCCTCGCCTGGGGCTCGCCTATGAGAGGGCGGCGCGGGCGAGCTGGAGCTTCGGCTGCTCCGCTCCCCTTGGCACCTTTCGGTGCTTGGCTGGAAGAGGCCTCCTTTTGCTGGGAGGTCCTCCAGTCCCACTGAGAACTCCAGTCCAATTCCCAGTCCCACCAGCCCCACCACTCGGACATGGCGGCTGGCGGGTGGCGGTTCGGCCCGCGCACCCAAGGAGCGTCGGGGCCTACCGAACCAGCTCCGCTACCATGCGCGGAGGTAGGGTTGCGTATTGGGCTTTTTTTTCTACACTCTGCAAAGAGGGCTGCGGAAGTCGCTTGCACTCAGGTTAAGCCCTTTAGCTCAAACCCTCTGCTCTCTACAGCTACTACCTAGGTTTCCTAGTGTAGCCTACAAAAATCTCGCAGTATCTCTGCCAATGCTCAAGAGGTGTTTCCAGGCGAGCCATTCTCAGGATGCTTGGCATTGTGGGGGACACTTCTTTCCCTACGTACTGAATCACAAGCGTTGTATGACTGCCGCTGCAGTGATTCATCCCACACAGTCGTGAGTGCTTCCTTGCCAATGACCGCATGGACAACTGAAATGATCGAACGTGCGTCCCCTTCAACCTGCGTGATACGCAAGTATGTGGGCACCACTCCAAAACTTTTTAAGTCTTCGCTGATCTCACCTGTTGACGCAGCTCTGTCCGTGTAGTAGCACTATAGAGGTGGACCTCATGTGAGGTGGACGGACATAAAACTTGCAACTTGTGAACCCGTGCAGAGAGGAAGGTACCAGCACATTTCTGGTCCGGCACAATTTTGATGGCACCTCTTCCCTGGCAAATCAATACAGTTGACCCTGAGCGGGCTTGATATTGTAGGGCAGAGGCCCTGGCAATCATAAAATCTTTGATAAAGGTTGCCCAGATATGCAATGAAGCTGCTTTGGAAAGGACCTGTTCAACGTAGCGTGTGGAAGTCTCTAGCCCTGTCCAAATTGCTTCGAATGATGTTGCAGGCTTGACGAACAATATCCCCTGTTAACTGGGCAATACCAATGCAGACAGTGATGGCATACATCTTGTCATTGCATTGTTTTTGTAGAAAACCAGTGCTCTGCCCAGTAGTGTTTGTAGGTGCGACACAGATTTTCCTCGGTACCAGCTTGTTTTCCTGTATAGTTTTGCTAGTTCAAATGGTTAGTGCCTGTAGAACGTAGTTTGAGCTTGCCAGACGGTTTTGCGGTAGCCTCAACCTGTTTTCCCTTGTTGTGTAGTGCCTGGGAGCTTTTAAGAGGTGCCACGACTACTGTCGTTTGGCTCAAGACATGTGAGACCAGCAGTGAGCTGTGCGTGCTAAAAGTGTGAACTGTCCGAGTGTTTTGTGAGCTTGCTTTGCTTGCAAGGGTGCTTGGAACTTGTTTGCCCTAAACCTGAAGAGTTGTGTGCCTTCTAGGTTTTTAACGTGGTAGCGGAGCGTGGTGAACGCTCGTTGCCTTGCAACCAAAAGAAAGAGCCCAATACGTTGACTTGAGGCGTGTTGCTTGCTTGGTTGTGCTTGTGAGAATGGAAGGCCGTGGCCGTGGCAGGCCAAGCTACTTCAACATCGGTGATGTGCCAGGTGAGCCTGGAATGATCCGAAGGAATAGTAGGTCAGACGCCGCGCCGCCTTACCAGAGGCCTAGAGCGAGCAGTGTGCCTCGGGGTGCTGCCTTTAGTCCAGTGTCGAACTTGTCGGCGCTGGAGCGGGGTATGCATCCTACCGGAAGCCCTGTGGTGGGAAGCCCAGCAGGCTCGCCGAACCCTCTTGGAGGTGTGTTGCCACCGCCGCCAGGTTTGCCAGAGTTTGGTGGAGTTTCGCCAGTGAGGGCACCGCCACAGCCTACCGTGGAGACGTTTCTTTACCAGACGGTGCAGCAGCAACAGCAGGTTGCTCAGCTTACGTCTCTTGTCCAGGCTCTTGTGAGCAGGGATGTGCCTGCGCCACCCGCCACGAGAGGGAAGGGCCACGGTGGAGAGCTTAGTTCCATCTCCGATTCGTCGGGGAAGATGGAAGTTGATGAAGGAGGCGCCCCCATCAGGAACCCCAAAGCCGAAGCTTATGTTCCGAAGTTGCCTGCAATTGATGGTGGAAAGATGAGCAGAGGCCGTCGCTCGGAGATCGAGGGGTGGGTTGATTTCTTGGAGCAGTTTTTGCCTTGGATCGCCCTCTTCGATGATAGGATCCCGGAAGGGCTTCATCGGTCGATTGCTTCTGAGGTCACCATCAAGCAGTCTGCGCTTGATAAGGGACAGAGTGTGCGTTCCACTAGGGCCTTCTTGTACCTGAAGCAAGCGTTGCAAGGGTTTGCTCGTGGGCTTGACTTGGTGAAGCAAGTAGAGAAGGAGCAGCTTGGCTCCCCAGCTGGATACGAGTGCATGAGGAGATTGCATCAGGAGTTGTCTGTTGCGAGCCGCATCGAGGCTTCGACGCTTCGGAATGAGGCGCTGCAGTACCGTGCGGGCACCCCTGGCAATCGTTCACTTGACATGTTCCGGAATATCCAGTTGGAGCTTGCTAAGTTTACCCGCTTGACCGCAGGGTTCCCGGATTTTGCGTTGAGTGAAGCAGATCGTTGCATGATTGTTTTGCGAAATCTTGACGTTGAAGTGAAAAAGTATGTGCTCTTGCATGCTAGGGTGGATTCCATGGATCAGCTAGAGACCGCTTTGAAGTTTTACGACGCCAACCTGAAGATCTTGAATTTGCAAGAAAAGGATGGCAAGGGAGCAAAGGACCATGCAAACGCCTTGACCTTCGACGACAAGGGAAAGGGCAAGAAGGGCGACAAAGGAAAGGACAAAGGAAAAGGAAAGGACAAAGACCACAAGGACAACAAGAAAGGGAAGGAGAAAGGGAAGGAAGGAAAAGGGAAAGGTGGAAAGGACAAAGAAGGCAAGGACAAAGGAAAGGGAGCAGCCGCAAAGGACGGCAAGCAAGGTTCTGGAAGCAACAAGGACAAGGAGAAGGAGAAAGAAGAGCGCTTGAAGAACATCAAGTGTTACAACTGTGA